TGGAGTGCAGTGGCATCATCTTGGCTCACTGAAAGCTCCGCCTTCCAGATTCACGCCATTCTCCTGCCTCAGCCTCCCCTGTAGCTGGAACTACAGGCGCCTGCCACCATGCCTAGCTAATTTTTTGGTTTTTTTTTTTTTTTTTTCTTGCTCAGTCACCCAGGCTGGAGTGCAGTGGCACAATCTCAGCTCACTGCAAGCTCCGCCTCCCGGGTTCACGCCATTCTCCTGCCTCAGCCTCCCAAGTAGTTGGGACTACAAGTGCCTGCCACCATGCCTGGCTAATTTGTTTTGTATTTTTAGTAGAGGTGGGATTTCACCATGTTAACCAGGATGGTCTCGATCTCCTGACCTCGTGATCCACCCGCCTTGGCCTCCCAAAGTGCTGGGATTGCAGGTATGAGTCACTGCACCCGGCCGATTTTCATTATTTTCTAATTTTTATTATTCTGTTTTCACTCGTGAATTATTTAGAAGTATGTGTAAGTATCCAAACACACATCTCTTGAATAATAATAATAATAATAATAATTATTATTATTATTATTATTTTGAGACGGAATCTCACTCTGTCATCCAGACTGGAGTGTAGTGGCATGATCTTGGCTCACTGCAACCTCTGTCTTCTGGGTTCAGGTGATTCTCATACCTCAGCCTCCCGAGCAGCTGGGATTACAGGCATGTATCACCACGCCTGGCTAATTTTTATATTTTTAGTAGAGACAGGGTTTCACCTTGTTGGCCAGGCTAGTCTCAGACTCCTGACCTCAGGTGATCCGCCTCAGCCTCCCAACGTGCTGAGATTTAAGGGTGAGCCACCACGCACAGCCACTTGAATTACTTTTAATCATATTGACTTTTAATTTAACACTGTTATATTTGAAAATCATGGTCTGTATTATAGTGATTCCTTATTAATCAGCTGTATTTGCTAGTTCTAATACATAGTTACTTTTTAAAAAATAGTTTGTGCTGGAAAATAATGTTTTCTCTGAGTTTAAGTGGAAGGCTCAGGACCTCATTAATTGTGTTCTTAAATCATTCTGTGTTTCTGTGGTTTTATTACTTTTTTGTGCTTAATCTGTCAATTTCTGAGTGATATTTAAAATCTCCTACTATGAATATGTCTTTTTCCTTTCTTCCTTAAAAAATTTCTGTTTTTGCTTTACGTGTTTCAAGACTGTGCTGGGTAGAATACAGGTTAAAATTATTAAGTCTTCGTGTATCGTTCCTGTTACTGCATGGACCCATCTGTGGTCATGCCTTTCTCCTGAAGGGTGTTGTTTTCCGTTTGTTTAGCTATGGGAGCTCCCTCCCATTCTTTTTTTTTTTTTTTGCACATCTACACATCCTTTTAATTTTGACTTCTTTGTGTTAGTCTGTTTAGGTGTTCTCATGCAGTATATGTAGAGGTAGACTTTATGTGGTTTTAACTGAGAGTCTGCTTCTTTTCTTTTCTTCTTTCTTTTCTTTCTTCCTTTCTTCCTTTCTTCTTCCTCTCCCTTTCTTCTTCCTCTCTTCCTCTCTCTCTCTCTTTCTCTTCTTTTTCTTTTTCTTTTGTTTTCTTTTCTTTTTTGATGGCAAGGTCTCACTCTGTCACCCAGGCTGGAGTGCAGTGGTGCAAAAACAGCTCACTGCAGCCTCGACTTCCTGGGCTCAGGTGATTCTCCCAGCTTAGCCTCCCGAGTAGCTGGGACTACAGTTGCATGCCAACAGTCCTGGCTAATTATTTATTTTTTAAAAGTTTTTGTAGAGTTGGGTCCCTACTGTGTTGCCCAGGCTGGTCTTGAACTCCTGTGCTCAAGCAATCCTACAGCCTTGGCCTCTCCAAGTGCTGACATTACGGGTATGAGCCACCATGCCCAGCCAAGAATCTGTATCTTAAATGGTGAAATCAATCCTTGTCACTTACTGTAATGGTTAATAGATGTGGGGTTGCCGGGCGCGGTGGCTCACGCCTGTAATCCCAGCACTTTGGGAGGCTGAGGCGGGCGGATCACGAGGTCAGGAGATTGAGACCATTCTGGCTAACACGGTGAAACCCCGTGTCTACTAAAAATATAAAAATTAACCGGGCGTGGTGGCGGGCACCTGTAGTCCCAGCTTCTCGGGAGGCTGAGGCAGGAGAATGATGTGGACCCGGAAGGCGATGGAGCGAGACTCCGTCTCAAAAAAAGAAATAGATGTGGGATTGTTTCTGCTACCATGCAGGTCAGAAATCAAGCATTGCCCTTAACCCAGATCCCTTCTTGAACCCCTTCCAGTCATTACCCTGTTGCACCAAGTTCACACTTGCCGCCTGCTCCCAGTCCTCACTCTTACTTTTCTTTGTTAGTTATACCACTTGAGCATCTACCCACAAACATTGTAGTACAGTTTTTCTGGTGTTTTGAATTTTACAGAAATGTAATACTGTATGTGTTATTTTGCTCAGCATTGTGTCTGAGAGTCATAATCTTGTTTCTCTATTTTCATTGCTAGATGCCGTCTTCCTTTATTAACATGTTGCATTTTAGTTGTTTCCAAATCTTGCTGATCGTGGAGCACACATGACATTCTGTTGTCTATAAATGGAAGAAATTGCTGAGTCATAGGTGGTTTATATTCTTAACTGATTACATGTTAAGATCAATAGCATGTTTTTAAATAAAAACTATTTTCCAAAAACAAGAATGGTTTAGTAAATAGGGCCAGTCACAGCGACTCATGCCTGTAATCCCAGCACTTTGGGAGGCCAAGACGGACGGATCACCTGAGGTCAGGAGTTCCCAGACCAGCCTGGCCAACATGGCAAAACCTCATCTCTACCAAAAGTACAAAATTAGCCAGCCACGATGGCACACGCCTGTAATCCCAGCTACTTGGGAGGCTGAGGCAGGAGAATCACTTGAACCAGGGAGGTGGAGGTTGCAGTGAGCTGAGATCACACCACTGCACTCTAGCCTAGGCAACAGAGTGAGACTCTGTCTCAAAAAAAAAAAAAAAAAAAAAAAAAAAGAATGGTTTAGTAAGTAGAGTGGCAGTGTTTTGTATTTTTTTCAAACCTCTTTTTTTTTTTTTTTTTTGAGACGGTGTCTCTGTCACCCAGGCTGGAGTACAGTGGCATGATCTCGGCTCACTGCAACCTCTGCTGCCCAGGTTCAAGGAATTCTCCTGCCTCAGCCTCCTATGTCGCTGGGATTATAGGTGCCTGCCACTATGCCCGGCTAATTTTTGTATTTTTAATAGAGATGAGGGTTTCACCATCTTGGTCAGGCTGGTCTTGAAATCCCGACCTCGTGATCCACCCACCTCTGCCTCCCAAAGTGCCTGGATTACAGACGTGAGCCACAGCACCCTCTTCAATATCTGATAGAACAAAGCTGGGTTCTTAATCTGCCTCTGTGTGGAGCCTGTTGTGATAGGTGGTTCTGATTGAAGGATTTGAACAAATATTTTGTTGATTTTTTTAGAGAATTGTGAGTATTTTTCTTTGATGCTATACCAAACCATGACAAGTTAGTTTCTCAAGGGTTAGGCATAGTGTAGAAGCTAAAACCAATTAGTGGCGTTTCCCTACACTGTTATGTGAAAGTCCATTCATCTGTCTTGTCCTCTGAATGGATATCTTGCCCATGCATGGCTTGTAACATCACATGTTGGTTATTTGTAAAGTATTGGTTTACTAAGGTAGACAGATTTTCCTGACATTAATACTTTTCATCATTATTTTTAAAAAATCATATTTGTTACAAAAAAATCATATTTGTTAATATCACCACTGATCTCATCAGAAAGTTCTTTAAATGTTGAGTTTTCAAGCCCACAGTGGCATATGCAAGTTTTCCAGAGTTCTAATTCTTGCTCAGAAAAATTATGATTATAAGAAAAGCTTATGGTCCCAAATAATGCCAAATTGCCTTGAAGTGACAGACTCATTTTGTTCATCTTGGAAAATGTCTGACAAATATCCAAGTCCAAATAACCATAGTTTGGCCCATCATTCACTCTTTTGAAGTAAAACTGAACGTTTCACAGGTGAAGGGCCATTCATCTCCCAGTGCACAGTGAGATTCCTTGAGGCCGGCTCCTCCTGGGGCATGCCGGAGAAATGCTTCATGTGTACTTCCCACTTCCTCACGCAGAGTAGTCAGAAGACTTGTGCTCAGGGGTGGAGATTTATACAAAATAATTATTTTTACTGCATCAAGGACATTCTTAAGTGAAACTGGCTTTTTTCCCCCTTCACAGCTCTGAAGCATATGGCAGTGAAAATGCAGCAGCCACTGGCATGCTTTGCTCCTGCAGTCTTCGTCCTTGCACTGGCGCTTAGCTCTTTTCCCCACCATTGTTTTTGCCCTGTCCGTGTGAATGTCAGTACAGTGAAAAAGGCAGAGGAAATTTTGGTACTAATTTGAAAATAGTTTTGACTCGTGGGCCTGCTGAAGGGGGTTAGGGTGAAAATCCTATTTTGCTAGCCATTAGTAGTTAACCACAGATTTCTTGAAACTTTCTCAACTTTTTTATATCTGTCTGGTGATACATATTTAACATAGGTACCAACCAGATTTTTTTCTAGTATTTGGAAAATAATGCTTTCCCTTCTAATTCTTCATTATAGCTTTAACACTGAAATTTATCAGAGAACTTAATTATCAATGATATGTTCAGGTTGGTGACTAGGCTTACAGCATGGCCTTAACCTTGCTGCGGCTCTAGGCTGTGCTGGACCATCTGAATGGGGTCCTCAGACCATACTCTGAGAACCACATCTCTGTTGGGTTGTCTTTTTCTTATTGACTTGTGGGATTTCTTTATATACACTCAGTAGTAGCTCTTTATTGGTTATATGTGTTGCAGATATTGCCTGTTTTTTTGGTCTATCTTTCACTGTGTGATGGTGTCGCTTTATGAACACAGATTCTTTTTTTTTTTTTTTTTTTTTTACTTTGAGATGCTACCAGGGCAGCCACTCCCCACAGCCCCTGCTGGGGTCTGAATGTGCACAATGCACTTCACATCCGGGCGTGCAGCATAAATTGCAGCGTGTAAGGTGTAGCCAGCTTGATTTACTCCCAGATTAGTGCTTCTACGATCTACTGTATCTCCTTGTAGATTGATCTTAACCTGAAAATTTAAAAAAATATATTTTTTTAAATATCAAGGGGACTTCATTTTTCTTTTCTGTTTTCGAGACAGTAGCTCTCGCCCAGTATGGAGTGCGGTGGTGCAATCCCGATTCTCTGCAGCCTTCACCTCCCGTGTTCAAGCAGTCCTTCTGCCTCAGTCTCCTGAGTAGCTGAGACTACAGGTGCGCACCACCATACCTGGCTAATTTTTGTATTTATAGTATAGATGGGATTTTGCCATGTTGTTCAGGCTGATCTCAAACTCCTGGGCTTGATCAGTCTCCCTCTGTTGCCCTGGCTAGACCTCAGATGATCTGCCTGCCGCAGCCTCCCAAAGTGCCGGGATTACAGGAGTGAGCCACTGAACGCAGCCAAATATGATCATGAACCAGGGGTAGTGGGAAGCATGTTTAGATCGTGGGCAGGTCAGCAGTATGCCCATGGGCTTTGCCACCAGAGTCCTATGTCCTGGTGTGCCCCGGTACACTGTCTGCCACGGGCTTTGAGGAGAGTGTTGGTTGGCTTAATAACATTCTATCTCGGGCCCAGAAGTAGCCCCCTGAAGGAGAAATTCAGACAGGGAAGAGAGATGGGATGATTGAGACATTTTTGCATAGTCCTGCAAGGGGGCAGGCCTAACTAAAAAAATCTTGCTCCATAATAGTCAGGACCAAGCCTGTGTTGAACTTAGCAATTTGGTTTCAGCTAATCATTCATCTGTCTCTTTAAAATACAGTTGTTAATTCGAATTTCATCTTTTTTTTTTTTTTTTTTTTTTTTGAGATGGAGTCTCGCTTTGTTGCCCAGGCTGGAGTGCAGTGGCGCCATCTCGACTCACTACAAGCTCCGCCTCCCGGGTTCACGCCATTCTCCTGCCTCAGCCTCCCGAGTAGCTGGGAATACAGGCGCCACCACCACGCCCGGCTAATTGTTTGTATTTTTAGTAGAAATGGGGTTTCACCGTGTTAGGATGGTCTCGATCTCCTGACCTCGTGATCCACCCGTCTTGGCCTCCCAAAGTGCTGGGATTACAGGCATGAGCCACCGCATCTGACTGAATTTCACCGTTTTAAAAATATTTCACTTTAAACCACCTTGAGTTTTTATAGTTATATAAAAGCTAAAAGACATGTTATGTTGCATTTTAACATTTGCATATGTTTAAGTAACAAAAATAATTTTAGTCTGGTGGGAGATGTGGTAAGGGGATGGCACTTTGGGGTAATTATTTTTTCTTTAAAGGGCCCTGAACTCAAGCATCCTGTCATAAAGAAGACTACTCGGCAAGTAGTCTTACGTTTCTATTTTTCTGTTTTCAAGGCTGTTTTAGACTCCATTTTGATTATGGGCATTAGCAATTGTTGTCTTTATTCTCATATATCATATTATTAAAACGTAAATTGCATTTTACACTAAGGAACCAGATTCTCTAGTAGTTATTATTTTGCCCATAAATTAATCAAGGCATATAGTCCCAACTTGAACCAGCTGTTTAAGTTTGCTGGCCTACGGGTGTGGTGGCTCACACCTGTAATCCAGCACTTTGGGAGGCCGAGGTGGGCGGATCATGAGGTCAGGAGATCGAGACCATCCTGGCTAACACAGAGAAACCCCGTCTCTAACAAAAATATAAAAAATTAGCTGGGTGTGGTGGCGTGCACCTTGTAGTCCCAGCTACTTCAGGAGGCTGAGGCAGGAGAATCCCTCTAACTTGGGAGGCGGGGGTTTCAGTGAGCTGAGATGACGCCACAGCACTCCAGCCAGGCGACAGAGCGAGACTCCTTCTCAAAAAAAAAAAAAAAGAGTTTGCTGGCCGGGTGCAGTGGCTCACACCTGTAATCCCAGCACTTTGGGAGGCCGAGGCAGGTGGATCACCTGAAGTCAGGAGATTGGGACCATCCTGGCCAACATGATGAAACCCCATCTCTACCAAAAATACAAAAATTAGCTGGGCGTGGTGGCGGGTACCTGTAATTCCAGCTACTCAGGAGGCTGAGGCAGGAGAATCACGTATGAGAGTTCCAGCTGATCTTCATACTTGCCAAGTGCTTGATATTGGCAGTCTTTACTTATAGCCATTCTAGTGGTTTGTAGTGTTATCCTTCATTATGATTTTAATCTGCATTTTCTTAACGACTTGTTGAGCATCTTTTCATGTACCTATTTTCCATTTGTATCTCTTTGGTAAAGTGGCTGTTCAGATCTTCTGCTCATTTTTATTGAGTTGTCTTAATGAGCTGTGAGATATTTTTATATAATCTCAATGTAAGCCCTTTATTAGACAGTCTTCACAAACATTTTCTCTCAGTGTGTGACTGGCATTTTCATTATACAGCACTGTCCTCTGAAGAGCAAAAGTTTTATATTTTGATCAGATCCAATTTGTGTTTTTAAATGATTTTGTGCTTTTGTGTTCAGTGTAAGAAATCTTTGCTGCTCAAGGTTATAAAGATTTTTTTGCCCTGGCCAGGCGCGGTGGCTTATGCCTGTAATCCTAGCACTTTGGGAGGCAGATCACAAGACCAGTCTGACCAACATGGAGAAAACCCGTCTCTACTAAAACTACAAAAATTAGCTGAGGATGGTGGCACACACCTGTAATCCTAGCTACTTGGGAGGCTGAAGCAGGAGAATCACTTGAACCCAGGAGGTGGAAGTTGCAGTGAGCCGAGATTGCACCACTGCACTCCAGCCTGGGTGACAGAGCAAGACTCCATCTCAAAAAAAAAAAAAGGTTTTTTTGCTGTTTGTTTTTTTCGGTCTTAATAGTTTTAGCATACACATTTAGGTCTGTGAGCCAGCCACCTTGAATGAAGCTTTTATCTGTTGTAAGGGTTAAGAGTCATCTTTTTTTTGCATATTGATATCCAGTTGTTCAGAATGATTTATTGAAAAGACAATTTTATCTCATCGAATTACTTTGGGACCTTTGTCAAAACTCAGTTGGTCCTGTATGTATGGAATTATTATTGGATGCTATGTTCCACTTTACATATATACCTGTTCCTTTGCCAGTACCATACTATCCTGATTCTTGAAGCTATTTATAGTAAGTCATGAAATTACGTAGATGTCTGCCAACTTTCTTCTTTTTCAAAAGTGGTTTCGATATATTAGATCCTTTGCATTGCTATGTAAACTTTAGAGCCAACTTGTCAGGTTCTACAGAAGAGCCTGTTGGGATTTTAATTGGCAACTGTAGATCAATTTGGGGGAGAATTGACACCTTAACAATATTGAGTCTTCAAGTCTAAGAACATGGTAAAACTCTTCATTTATTTAAGTCATTTAAGTTTATTTTCAGCATTGTTTTGTAGTCTTCAATATATGTATGTAGTCTTTGCACATCAGTATATTAAAAATTTTCCGGACAGGCACGGTGGCTCATATCTGTAATCCAGCACTTTGGGAGTCCTACACAGGTGGATCGCTTGAGGCCAGGAGTTTAAAACCAGTCTGGGCAACATAGTGAGATCCTGGCTTTACAAAAAATAAATACATTTTCCCAAAGTATTTTATATTTTCTTGCTATTTTAAATGTACTCTAAAAAGTTTCAATATTTGTTTATTGCTAGTACATAGAAATTCAGTTGTTTTTTTTTTTGTTGTTGTTTTTTTTTGAGGGGGAGGGATATTGGCCATATATACTGTGAAAACTCATTTATTAGTTCTGTGGGCCTTTTGGTAGATTCCTTAGGATTTTCTTTCTTTCTTTTCTTTCTTCCTCTTTTTCTTTTTTTGACAGAGTTTTGCTCTTGTTGCCCAGGCTGGAGTGCAATGGCGCCATCTCGGCCCACCACAACCTCCACCTCCTGGGTTCAAGCGATTCTCCTGCCTCAGCCTCCCAAGTAGCTGGGATTACAGTCATGTGCCACCATGCTCAGCTATTTTTAGTAGAGACAGGGTTTCTCCATTTTGGTCAGGCTGGTCTCGAACTCCCAACCTCAGGTGATCCTCCCTCCTTGACCTCCCAGAGTGCTGGGATTATAGGTGTGAGCCACCATGCCTGGCCTTTTTTTTTTTTTTTTTTTTTTTCTTTCTTTTGAAACAGAGTCTCGCTTTATAGCCCAGGCTGGAGTGTAGTGGCATGATCTCGGCTCACTGCAACCTCTGCCTCTTGGGTCCCAGTTCAAACAATTCTCTTGCCTCTCAGCCCCCTAAGTAGTGGGATTACAGGTGCACACCACTGTGCCCAGCTAATTTTTGTATTTTTAGTAGAGATGGAGTTTCACCATGTTGACAGGCTGGTCTTGAACTCCTGGCCTCGTGATCTACACGCGTTGGCCTCCCAAAGTGCTGGGATTACAGGCCTGAGCCACTGCGCCCGGCCTTCCTTAAAATTTTCTGTGTAGATGATCATGTCGTCTACACATAATGTGTTTCTTCCTTTGCAATCTGTGTATCTTCATTTTTTCTTGCCCAATTCCACTGACTAGGTCTTCCAATGTGAGATTGAATAGGAGTGGTGTGAGTAGGCATCCTTCTCTTCCTCATGATCTTAGGGGAAAGCATTTGTTCTTTTATTATGTAGTATAGATCAGATTGAGGAAATTTACTTACATTTTTAGTTTGCTAAGAATTATCATTATGAATAGATACTGACTTTTGTCATACTCTCTACATCTGTTGAGATGATAACAGAGTTTTCTTTTTTAGTTAATGAAATAAATTATGGTGATTTTCAAAATGTTGGAAAACCTCGCATTCCTGGGATAACCCACATTTGATGGTGATGTATTATCTTTTTGCTAGGTTGCTGGATTGGATTTACTAATGTTTTGTTAAGGATTATTGTGTCTATGTTCATGAAGGATGTTAGTCTGTAAATTTCTTGTCTCATGTCTGTGTGTGGTTTTGATGTTAAGCTAATACTTCGTTTATAAAATGAGCTAGGATGTATTTTCTTTGATTCTCCGGAAAGGAAAAGTTTGTGTAAAATTAGCATTATTTCTACCTTAAGTGTTTGGGAGGATTCACCAGTAAAGCTATCTTGGTCTG